TAACTTGTCAAATAGTACGAAACTATGTAACATTCCTTTTTTTACGGGCTGAACTGAATTCTCAATGGAAATGAATTATTTCCTTTCAGCTGATGTACGGACAGAGCAATGAATTAAAAATTTCGGGGAATTATAACTTGAATATTCGAGGAAGTAACTGATTCGTTAATTAAGAATTCTACATAATTTTCATGTCTCTCTGTCGAGTATAATTTTCCAACGGTGTGCCGATTCAGAAATTCCAACAAAAAATGTAAAAATTACATAACAATGAAGAAAAATCGGAATTTTTTGCTGACTTTAATGTGATGTTTACTTAAATTGGTGATAGAAACCAAATCGCGACTGAATGATACGATTACAAAAGGCCAGGTTAAAGAAATTTATATAAAAGTTTATAAAAAATTCCTCTTTGGGTGGCTGAAACACTTTCTTGAAATTTCCAAAAAGGAGTTGATTGCTGTAGATTTTCCATCTTTGCTTTAAATTTCAAACACCAAGGGCATGAATATTACTATCGACTTGAGGGCTATCGAGTCACCATTACTCTAGTGTTGAAGTGAACGGAGACCTTTACTCGAGAACCGATATCTGTGTATACATAGGGAAAACAGGGTTGCAAGGTTATCCGAGCGTTCCATTGTTTAACATTGTCTCCGGTTGTGAAAAAATGTAAGTAAAGGAGAAAAAATGGGGCATCCTCGTCTGTACTCTACGGTATCCCCGGGTTAAATAAACAGAAAAATATGTACTCCTAGACCTCATCCTAGAGCTCATCCTAGAGCAACTATTGTATTTTTTAATCATCTGCCCCACGTTATTTCCTATTACAAAGTTTCCATCAACGAAATCTTCATCCCATCACAAAACAAAGAAAAATTATAAAATCGATCAAGCCAAATTTTACGATAAAATAGAGAAGAAAAGCATATTTTCATCTCGAATACTCCTACCGATAATAAAAAGTGTTACACGTGGGTCCCAATTTTCTCGACGAAAAAAAAAACGTAATCACAACAATAATTGTTCTTAGCATTGATATTACTTTAAAAAATGAAATTATCGATTTATGTTCTAGTTTTACTTATAGCCTTTTGCCTCTCAATCTCTCAGACGAGATCATTGCTTTGATTTTTTCATTTTTTATGTTCGTTCATTCTCGTTTTGTTTGCTAATTTGTGAATATTTTGTTTATATTACTTAACAATAGAATCTAGTATCGCTTTATTCAAGGTGTTAAAGGTACCGATAAAGCCAGGAAAATCAGAATAAAAGTTTTGCTTAGTTGTGAGTAAATCCTTGACTGCTGAATGCGTTCTGTTCCTGCATAGACATCCTGGTAAATTCTTTTAATTAACATCCTGACATTTCGAGTTAAATTCGGTATTAGGTTCATAGTCTCACCCTTACTTGCACATACTTGGCAGAACTTTGTCTTCAATTTGCAGTCTTGTAATTAATTAATCAATATCAGAGAAACTTTCAGCTCCATTCTTTTCTTTTCTTTCAAATCTTATAAATCAATCTTATAAATCTGATTTTAATTCTATAAAAAAATGTGACTCATATTGTGCATCGCAAAAATTTGGAATTAACAAACAATTGACTTTTACCTTTATTTTTATATTTATCATTCGTCCTTGATTTTAATACTTGAGTTTCTATAGAAAATTCCGCGCCTTTTCCTTCTTTTCGTTTAGAAT